TTTTTTTGGTTTTCCTCTTTATCCATATATTGTTAATCTGAATATCCCCTTGAAGGGTTTTTAGTTCTGTTTACCAAAGGCACCAACTCAGCTCTTGTTTCTGTGGGGACGTCTATGACCCGAACACACACAAAACACAACAAGCAGTTTCTGACTGAATTGCTCTGCATAAAAACTTTGTTGTTTTTCTTTTTAATTTATTTGTGAAGGGATATTTTTTGTATTATAGTATATACTAATGCCTGCTGATTCACTTAATTCTTGCACCTCTTATGATGTCACTGACCCAAATTATGCACACAGTGCACACAGTGCAGCCAGTGCACTTTTAAAAACGTTGTTTCTATGTAAAGCCGGCTGGTGAAATCCATACTTCATTACCTAGCTGTTTTGTAGGCATAGGCTTGCTAGTGAATGAATACAGAATTAAATTTTTTTTTTTTTGAATGAGTTACTGACTCTCTGTCCATCTATCTATCAGCTGGACTATGACTAAGTTAATAGCTCTTACTTTTTACGCTGTTTAGCACTTTTTGCCGACTTTCAATCTTTAAAGTTGAGCATTATTTCTTTTCTTTCATCTTAAAATTGTCTTTAAAAGTTCTTTGACTTTATAGTGGCAGATTTGACTTATGGTGATTTTTTTTTTTTTTTTCTGCTTTCATATCCTTTGCCGTTACAAAGAATGCAGAAGCAAACCCAGCAGTGACCAAAATAGGCACCAGAAAAATGTTTTAAATTTACAGCTCAGATTCTGTGGTCTTTTGTCAGCCCATAATCTACTCCAAGAGGCCCCTGTGTTCTGCGTCCAGAATGTGAAGGTTTGCTATATGCTGAATTCAACGTGTGCAGTGCAGAGTGGTTCTGTATGATGCATCGTCTTAAATGAGGAGGTTCTACTTTTCAGTTTACGAGGTGTTGCAGTGTGAAGTTCTGTTCTGCAAGAGGATTCTCTTTTGCCTATCATTTTCAAGGTGAGGAGCTCTTCCTTTGAAGACCATAAAATAGTTTATACGAGATGAGGTATTTACAGAAACACTAACATCACTGGGAACCACCATGAGAAGAAACAAGCAACTTTCGCTTTTGTGTAAAGCTCACTTTCAAATCTCTTGGTTTCCCTTTGTTGGATTTTAAAGCTTTTTCTGCAAAGTTTGTGTAAAACTCATAGTTTTATGGTTGACCACAGAGAACAACATGTTATGGTCAGTTTTTATATTTGTTGTAAACTGTTATTTATTCAAGTTAAACCTCCTGTTGTCCCAAAAAAGCAGACATGCCTCTAGTGACATCACATAAGGCACAAGACAACGTACCAGGCATTTTGACTACCTTGACTTGTACTTTTCCTATTTTTCTTTCCCATTCACAATATAATAATTAAATGTCTTCAAAAGTGCATATAGCAATAACATGTTTAAGACATATTTATATAAACATGGCATATTTTGCCTCTTGTGATGTCACAAGCAAACACAGATGACCTCCAGCAGCTTTTTTCTTCGGTGAGCTTTTTTTTTTTTTTTTTTTTTTTAATTGTTGTATTTTGCAAATCCCCTAGCGAGAATCAAGACCTCGTTACTTAGTGACTTTATCATTAATGGGCATTTCATAATAAAAACATCTATTATGGATGGTGTCTTTAACTAACTCTATATTATATTCAAGCATTCGATATACAAATAAAGAGACATAATAACCTGAACTCAGGGAACTTAACCGTTCAAATTGTGAGTCCTATTGTATGGAAGCAAATACACTCTGTTTCTAATCAGGCTTGGCTTTATCCTCGCCCGCTCCCTGCTACTCAGTCTAATCAAACTCATATATGCAGGCAGAGTGCCTGCAATTATACATAAGCCCCTGCTCCATGTGTGTGTGCGTGTGACTGTGAGTGTGTGTATGCCTAAGTTGGAATACGTTTTCTGCATGTGCATACGTCTGCGAGTGTGTTTAAGTTGTGTAAAAGGGTGCGGTTTCAGGGGCTGAAGTCACCCTACTGCTCTAATGCCAAGATTTTTCGGGGGGATACGAAGCTGTGCAGCTTTACGAGACCTCAGCCTATGTACGATACTTAAGAGACACCACAAAGAAAAGAAAAGAAAAAAAAAGAACGTGTATCAAGTACAGAACACAAGGTACGTGTACACAAGTGCGCAGAGTTCTTACACGGGCACAAATGTCTGTTGGTCAAAGACGTGTTGGCACGAAACGACAGAAAAAGGGGAAGATTGAGAAGGGGAAAAAAAAGAGTAAAATGCAAAATAAATGTGAAAGAAAGTAAAGCATTTGTAGGTGCAGTGTTCCCTTGCCAGAGTCTCTCCTCTTTCCAAACCACACCCCGCCACGGCACAGGCCCAAACCAAAAGCCTTTGTGTGCGCTCCCTCATTTTCCCTCTTTTCTCTCTCCGTCTTCCCCTTTCTGCCTTTTCTCTGTGGTTCTTTTTAGTGAGGTTTTTCTCCCTTTTCTGTTTTCTAATCTTTTGCGTCTTTCTCTAGTTGCCTTATTCCATCGAACAAACCGCCCCTTTCAGCTGTCCAACTTTGCCGGCTGTTTGTGTTGTCATCTTGAGTCTGCCATTAAAGTGTCCGTCCCAGTAACAAATATACTATTGCAACCAATGGCGCTGCAGAACCTCGGTACTCGTGTCTTGGTTTCCAAGACCCTCTCCGGCCTGCGATCAAGCAAGGAGACCTGTCTGTGCATCACCTGGAAAAGCCTCTCTTTGAGCGCGGATCTGGTGTTTTCTGAGCCGTTAAAGAGCACATGAGAAAACCATATGGTCCTGTCTAAAGTTAGCATGTTGTGGTCTGCCGTTGACACGCGGCGCTGCCCATATACTTGATATTTCCCATCGCCTGTGGCTAGGCCATTAAATATTGAAAGTGATGTAGCATACTGATGCAGCCATTAGCATGCTAAATGTGCGAGACAGGTGGTTGAGGTCGCCTTTTCTCAAAAGGCAGGAAATATGTGAGTGGAAAATGTGCGTAACTGTGCCCATTTACTTTGCCGTACAGTGTAAATATTGTTTGAGTAAGCTGTTTATATATGTGTTCTGGGAAGGGGGGTCAGTCCAAGTCAAATTTATACAGACATACGTGTGCAGCCAGAGAGAAATGGCTCATGGGCCGCGGTGGCTTATAGGAGCGTATGATATCCAGTGTACATCCCAGAGACTGCACGGATCTGTTTCCAATCTGAGCGTGTGCGTGGAGCAATGTGTCACGCCTGCTGCTTTTCATGTGTTTACTGTGTTTAATAGCCGCTCGAACGTTATACTCGGACTGGTTTGGATTACTGTGTTTGCATTCAGCGTGGAGAGAGAGCGAGAGAAAAAACTGTTCAGATTTATTTTGCTAGTCTGATGTCATCACGTCTTAATTTTGGCATTAAGAAAAAAAAAAAAAAGAAAAAAACCCCGGCACATGTCAGATTAGAGGACACAGGCCAAGTGAGCGGGTTTCCAGCTGTCACATGTTAACGTGAAAAGCAGTTTTTTTTTTTTTTTACACACGTGTAAAAAAAAAATGGGGGGCTACATGCAGCGCTTGTTGCACAGAGCGTATCCTGCAAAAATAAAAAAGTGATGTTTGAACTAGCTTCAAATGTTGCTTTTCTCTTTATGCTAAAGATTTGCAGTTTGCCTGTCTTTGAGAATTTGAAGTATAAAAGCTTAAATGTAAGTGTGGAGATGAAATTGTTATGGTTCAGTGGAATGTGTGCGGATTTTACAGTAAAACGAAAAGGGGAGGAACCTTGAATTTAGTTCCTGAACACATTAGGAGTTTGCCTCCAAAGTCAGAAAAAAAAAAGATCTTTCTGCTCCTGTCTAAAACATGTGGTGTAAAAAGCACAGACGAGGTACAAATTACACATGATTGCTTTGTTTTGAACTGAATTGCTCAAAATTAAACGACTAGAGTATAAAGTGTGTGTGTGTGTGTGTGCTTGGTGGAGTGTATACCCTGTATGTGTCCGACACGAGGAAACATTCGGGCATCCCGGGGCCTCTAGTAGGATCGTCGTTCACCAGGTAAGTGTCAGTAGCCTGAAAAACAAACACAGTGAAAACAAAAGTGAGGGAGTTGAAGCATTTCGCGTTCATTGTTCCACCTTTACTTGTTGTTCTTTTCAGGTACAGCAATCATTGTTTAACAGCAGTGCATGTAACGGTATTTATTTGTTTTGGACTTTTCTATATCAGCTCGCAATGCCTTTTTTTTTTTTTTACTGTGTGAAAAGTACTTGTTATAATCTTTTAAGACTTGCAGTGCTTTCTACTTTTATGGGCACTGCTTGTAAATATTTGTATAAAGCCTTAAAATAATGTCACCCTGGGAAAAAAAAACAGGCACCAGGCAAATATTTATTACTTAATTTAGTTAATTATTTGTTTGTTTTACCCTTAACAATTCAATTAAAGCTTTTCTTTTTCTTTTTTAGCATTATTATTAATTCCTGTGAGTTCAGGAACTTTTAATTACTAATCCACAATGTTTTAATTGCCTGCAATATAAACATGACTGACCCCAGAGGACCATTTCTAACAGCCACTATTCGAAATAGGAAACACAACAGAACATCCCATTTAAGTCAGGCAGACATTTGAATGTCAGAAAAATATCAGCTGAACCGATCCGTATCTACAGTCAGAGTAGTGGCTCCATAATTCCTAACAGTTCCAATAAAATTAATTTCAACTGAAGAATTTATTCATTTATATCTTAAAGCTTTAGCTGAGTGTTGACGGAACCTTAATAAGTAAACTGTGACCAAATGTGCGGCAGAATTGCACAGAGACTAATTAGTCCTCAAAATGGGAAAGACAAGAAAATCCAAATAGATCTATATCTACATAGATACATATCTATATATAGATATAGATCTATACCCAATGATACAGATCTATATAAATATATGTAATGCTTTGCAATCAGTGTGGTCAAATCTTTAACGTTCATGTTTTTTTTTTTCTGAAAAAGAAATTCCCTAAAATATGCTTGCCTCATTATAATAATAATGAAGATATAATAGTTATCCTTTCTCCAGAGGCTCTACAGCCCCATAAATCCACAGTCCAAATATCAATGCGTATGCATGCATATGTGTGTAGGTGTGCATTCAGGGAGCTTCATTTGTATTCTAAGACAAGCAGGCAGGCGGAGAGGCAGGGTTCTGGCAGGGTCCGGAGCTGTGAAATAGGCTCTCCTTGCAGTTCTGCTGTTGATTGGATCAACCTATCCCCACTCAACTTCGCCAAAGGGAGCCCAAATCCCACAGCCGCTGCGGCGTTCAATGAAATCCTATTTCATTTCACAACTTTAACGGATAAAAAAGCGTGCACACCCGCTTGTGCCAGCCCAAGACCCCATGCACCATTCATTTACCGAAGGAGAGCAGGGAAGAAACAGTGTATGTGCCTGTATTGAGATACACACAAATATATACTCTTCTGTCCCCCAGACTCCCCCCGCCCCCGCCCACCCAAAATATAATCTCCCAAATATTTTTTTTTTTTTTTTTTTTTTTTCACAAACATGTGCTACTTGCTTTGCACACAAACACACAGCAACACTCGCAAGCTCCCACCAGTGCACACGTGCATGCCACTTACGCAGACACACAGACACAAACCCCATAATAAGAGCCAGACGTTGGCAGACCACACAGCCCTGAGTTGTGGTGAAAACAAAGGCTATTCATATCCTTCGCAATGAGAGGTCTGTACAGCTCACTCTCCATCTCCCCCTCTACCCCGTCTTTTTATTACAGATAATCTGCACTCGCAAACCTCCCATTTTTCTGCAATTGTGCGATTTCTAATCATCTTTATTAGTCCATAAACATGTTTCTTTTCTTTTTTTTTTTGTTTTTTTTGTTTTTGGCCTGCTTTTATTGCGGAGGCCCTCGGCTCCTTGAGGGGGCAACACAGCGCCTATTGTTGAGTCTCACGATGCTGATGGAGCCAGGAACAGCGTGAGAGAGAGAGGCCTGCTGATAAGGCAGCAAAGCATTATGGGAGCAGGCTAGTGGAGTTCTTGAGATGCACGTTTACATGCTAATATACAACAGCGTACTCAAGGACAAAAAGCAAACACCCCAAAGTCTGCCAGGATACACGTGTGTTAATGAAACAATGTATCTGATTGGCTGGTGGTCCCAATAATGGCCTGGTTCCACGGCACCTGTGCAGGGGTCCACACCAGCCTGAGCCTTCTGATAACCAGCAATGCATCAGGTGTGCTGGAGCTTCAGTGATTGGCTGGGAGCAGCCAGAAACAGGGTCAGGTGCACCAGCAGGCCTCCCCTCATTGGTTTGGCTATGCCCAAATAAGCTGCGAGTGGGCAAGAGCTGTTTTCATTGGCCTACCACTGCCTCATTCTGCTGGTGAATGGGAGTCTGGCCTGATGGCATCAGGACAACTGCGAGTGTGCAAGGAAATCTAATGAAATCTGAGAAATTCTTTGCACTGAAGCCCTTCATATATGCAAGTTTTAAAAGAACGGTTCAGCGGTTTAAAGAATAGTTGTTTAAAAAAGGTTATTAATAGCTAATATCTTACTTGCAGTGCTGTATGTAAAGTTGATGTTTTTGTTTAGAACAATTTCCAAATTAGTGATCCTGGAAGCTGGAGCTGACGAACAGAGAGGTCAAGACCAAAGTGGACTTCCACGTCTTAAGACAACAATCTCAACAGAATAATATTTTTATTTAGCACAAATCAAACATGGTAGTTTATCTGAATGCTATTATATCCATTGTTATGTTTTGACTGAATCGCCTTATAGCCACAGAAGCCAATGATTGTCAGCACAAGAAATGGAGATAGATGAAATATTAACACTAATGATCTTCAAGTATGAAAATGATTGCAAACAGTGGAACATGTAAAGTGGAACATAGTGGTAAAAAGTGCAAAAATTGAAAAAATAAACAAAAAAAATGTCTTTTTTTTCAATTAGTTTTATTTCCTTTGGCTGAAAATATTTTACATGTTCCTTTCACACAGGAAGGTCGGTGGTGCGCCAACTCCAACCTCCAAATAAAATGTGCATAAATTAGTTTTTGTATGATCTGCTGTGAGATTTTTTTTGAGGCTCATGTTTTTTTTTTAGGATGGTTTTGGTTCTTCTCTGATAAGCTGCTAGAGCCAGCATCTTCCACCAAAAAGTCTATTTTTGATTTATTCTAAATGAAGAAGTCAAGAAAGTTATCTGCTACAGACGGTGGCTCACCTTGTATCACCATTTCTGTGTAAATCAATCATTGACTTTGGTGTAACTAATAGACCTGAACAATTTAAAGGTTTCTCGAGCATCTTTTGCATAAACAGCTATGAAATATTTAAGGTACGACTGTATTAGGAGGATAGATGTTTGTTTTAGTCTTCTTAGCCTCTCTCAGACAAAGCTTTTAGCTAAATAATCATTACTTACAAGATAAACTCTCAGTAGTGTTTCACTCAGGAAGATGTTTGGTGCTACAATGCCTCCAATCTTCGTTTCACAGTTAAATAAACAATGGCTTGTCTGTAAATCTCTATGATGTTCACATGTTTCTCGGCAGAAAACACAGTGTACATCAATGGGACGTGTCAGGTTAAATCAAATAAATAAAACCAAGTGCAACTGTGACTACAGTTTAAAGGTTATCAAAAGAACATTTGAACAAACTATTGTGAGGTTTTGAGCAAGAGGAGTTTTAAAATGGTAGAAATCTATTTTTAGTCAATGCTCGGAGTTGTCAACTGCAATAAGATAATAAGATATCATGAGCTATCCATTTAACCAGAGTTCACAAGCATCAAGACAAAAGAGTCAAAAAGAAAGAAAGAAAAAAAAAACAGGTCAATCTGACTTGCAGATCATTTGCTCTCATTTTATATTAACCAACTGACAAAGAGCAGTTTACATGCCCTCTTTATGTCATCAGCCAAAGAAACAGGTGCTGATGAACCTCAATCCCATTGTGCAAGAGCGAATAACACGGAGCTAATGAATAGACTAAGCTCTGTACCTGCCACTGGGGAGGCCAGAACATACTGCCGCCCCTTTGTAGTAAACCCCTCAAAAAAAAAAAACAACAACAACAAAAAAAAACTCCAGGGCCCCAAACATTCATTCTCTCTCTCTCCTGCAGCAGTGTATGAATTATATATTGTACTGTATATATAGAGCATATGCCCAGCCCATATGGCCAGCCCAGAGCGAAAAAATCTCAAAGCCCTCCTTAATTAACATTTTAGAGGGAAGATTCGGAGGCGGGAGATTGAGTCAGTGACCTATTTGGAGTCCATCATCGCCCAATGCAAATGTGCTAATTGAGACAGATTTTCCTACTTCGCAAATATGTGGCGTAGAGAGGATGCTTTGGAGGATTTCATTTTTTTTTTTTTTTTTTTTTTGTAGTTGTTTTATTCCTGTGAACCATCTGATCTAAGGTAGGGGTATAAGATGTGTTTCTAGCTGTATTTTCTCCTGACAAAAGAAGACACTTCTCTTTCACTTTCTCCCCCTCCATCTCACTAAGTCCTTCTTGGCCCGCTCTCTCTCTCTCTCTCTCTCTCTCTCTCTCTCTCTCTGTCTTGGTGGATGTGTTGACGACCATATGGCCAAATTCTTTGGAGGTGAGATCTCCGAAACCTGCTCAGACTCTCGCATCTATGTACACGCACACATACACTCCCACACACACACACACACACACACACACACACACACACACACACACACACACACACACACACACACACACACACACATGCATGCACACACACCTCCACAGAGCTTTGTGTAGGGAAACCTCTCATGGTGAATTTTGTTCTCAGATGGCTCCATTTTAAAGAACATGAATGGCAACATATCAATGATCCTGTGTTTGCACCTCAGAAACTTGCAGTACTCCTACACCTCGTCCCAGACTGTACCTCTGCTATCATCATCTGCAGCTTCTGTCAGCACATCTTTTTAAAATCCAAAATTATTACCATCCCTTTTTACCTCAGTAAACGTTTTCACTGTCAAGATGTGGTCGCTGACGTTACCACT